TATATATATGTATATATGTATATATATATGTATATATATATATGTATATATGTATATATGTATATATATGTATGATGGCATTAAAATAGTTTCTAAGAGCAATAAAAAGCATTAAATTAGAGTTCCTCCTTCCTGTATAAACCCTGCTTTAATGCCCAGCTCTTTCATTAAAAGGTATAGTGGTCGAAAAGACCCGCCCTCTTCACTTTAAAAAAAAAATGCACATGCACAACAGTGTAACGGCTTCCAATAGGGAACGCCTATTAAATGTGTTTGAGAGCGTGCACACAGAGAAATGGGCTTTCCCTCTTCATATATGCCTTCCCTCTCGCTCTGTTAAAAAGTTACTGTTTGCACCGCTCATTCAAGCTTACTTTCCAAAAGATTTGGGAAAACTTCCATGATGTCAGACTTTATGAAAACATATCACCGGAATGATTGACAATTAGGAGGACCACTCATTTAGATAGATGATCCACCCGGAAAAAGAACAACCTCCACTATACCTTTAAGTGTAAATACTGTACATTTGTTTTAAGGTGTCCCACTGACTGGTTGACATAATTTACTTTACCAGCTTAACTGTCATAAGAAATATTGACAGCTGTTGGGATATATTAGCAGAGAAAGTCAGAAATAGCATTTCCTCAGCCATCAAGCTGTATAGAGCTGCATTGGTCTCTGTTTGAGAACTGACTCCTACTAGTCTGAGGTCTGTTTAGGGAGCGCTGCAGAGGTAATCCAGTCGGTTTCTCTGTCCAAGCTGCAGCTGCCACCCCCCCGAACTCCAAGTCAAACACACACACCACTGCTCCTGATTATAAATAACCAGCTGAGAAGCCAGCAGAGTTGTGTGGCAGAAAGAAACAGATTGTCAACATATGAATTAAAGGCATTCGGGCATCAGAATGACTCTGTGCCAGGCAGTGACACCCCACCGGATCAAGCTCAACAAAAACAAGGTATTGTTGAGCGATCAGGAGGAAGATTTTAGATGAAGTTTTAACTTTAGTCTATAAACGGACTGGATGATGTACAGCAGTTTGTGTTTCACTGGGAAGCTCTAGGTCCCGCCAGACTGTCTCTGGAGCTGAAGCCACATAGAATAAATATCGTTTAACACTTTTGCATGTTTAAAATAATTTAATAGACCAAGTCAAGAAGCAGAATTTCCTCTGATTCCACTTATTATCCATTCGGAGAAACTGCTAACAAGCTGATCTTAAAATAAAAAAAAATCTGCCTACTTATGTTCCTCTTTTTTGTTGCTACTTGTAAATAAGACCTTAGAGATTCAGTTAAATGTGATTACATGACATATATATTATCTCTTTTTGCTGCAGCCGGATTTGCTGAACTTTAAGAAAGGATGGATGACGAAGCTTTATGAAGATGGAGTGGTAATCTGTTTTTTTTTAATATCACTTTTTATGCGTTTATGTGTGCAGAATGGGTTAATGAATATTTAAGTGATGGGCTTCTGGTTTTCTCCTCAGTGGAAGAAGCACTGGTTTGTGCTGACAGACCAGAATCTGAGGTACTACAAAGACTCGATAGCTGAGGAGGTAAGGCTTAGCTGTTGCTTTTCGAAACAGATTGAAATCTTGAAAATTTTCGTTTGAATGTGTTTTTCTTTTTTTTCTTTTTTTAAGGCCTCTGAACTAGATGGTGAGATTGACCTTTCTACGTGTTACGATGTCAAAGAGTTCCCTGTCCAGAGGAATTATGGTTTCCAGATTCTGGTGAGTGTTGATGTTTTTATTTTTTTTGTTGTTGTTTTCTTGCCCCTCATCATCTATTATGCAGAATGTGAAGCATTTAGTGCTGCCATCTCCCGCCAGGCTATAAACAACCCTGGAGTCCATGTGGTGCAACTTTAGGTATCAGGCTTCCTCATTTCTCCCTGTCAAACAGTTTATTGTTTGGCACGAGGGATGTCACTTGATTTGTCTTTGTAAGAGGCTGACATCAGTGTGGTCTAAATTTGATGCTGCTGTCTCCAGCTCTTTGTCTCTCTCTAGATCCATTTACCCCCATCCTGCACAGTGGGTTTACCTGACCCTCTCTTTGTTTACATTCCTGCTCATATGAAACCAGTCTGTTATATATTTATTGACAAAAAAAAAGAAGCATTCTGTTCCTGCTACTTCAGTGTTTCAATCTAATCATATTTCGGGGAGGAATAATACGTAAAGTTTCATTGATTCGTTAGCGTCAGTCTGGAGCTGCTTCTGCAGCTCTGTCCTGCTGGAAGTCAGAAATAGAGCAGTGAAAAGGATCGATGTTGCTTTGGCTGAGAACAGCATGGGTTTGGTGTCCAAATTAATAACTTCAGTATCTATAACGGCTATTTGTCTGACATCAGCGGACTGAAAGGGGGCTGCTTGCATTAACTTCTGCTTGAAGCCTTTAAGTTGCCTAAATTTTGACACCTAAAATTATTATTTTTTTAATTGCAGCAACTTCCTGTTCTCAATCATTGGTTTTGCAGAGTTTGAGGTTTATTCCTGATATGAGGATTATATTAGTTGCATCATCATCATTGTTTTCCTTACCTGCTATCTAAAATCACCCTAAATGTAAAACTGTAGCGGTGTTTTCACAGTTTGTCACATTAGTGGAAAAAAGCACGCCTTTATCAACTTCATTAAAAAAATCTGTCTGAAAACTGAGATTTATTTTGGTCCTGCTAACTCTCATAAACCTAAATAAAATCCAGTTTCCTAATTGTGTTCAGATCTACAAATCAACACAACAGATTATAATAACAGCAAGAATCCAGCTGTATCTTTGCTGTTTAAACGATCTAAATGCATGTTTTATTTTATACGGCTTCTGATAAAATGTCTGCCTGCTTCCAGTGTAAGGATGGAGCATGCACCCTGTCAGCTATGACCTCTGGAATCCGACGCAACTGGATTCAGGCCATCATGAAGAATGTGCGACCCACCATTGCCCCTGACGTCACCCGGTAATCCCCGGCCAGGATTAACACCAACCAATGGCTGATGCCACACATGATTTTCTCACTTTATTTATTTAAATTCCTATCTCCTCCTCACCCACTCTTTCCTTCTTTCTCCTCCTGCTCAACTGTTATTTTTTTTAAACCTGCTTCCAGGAAAAACATCTCTCTGAAACTGTCCGTTCTGAAGCCCAGGTTGGAGTGCTTGTGTGTTGAATTTCTCCTCAAACAGTGATGTAATTGCTCAGCAATGTTGGTCCCGGCGTGCTTGTTGTCCAGCTACATGTTATGTGATTGAGTAATGTCCCCTCCATGCTTCTGTAGAGACATGCAGCGTCGACAAACTAGAATAATCTGCCCAACACCAGAGACTGATGCTAATCATCATTGTCATGTGACTGCCCACTGTGGGGGCTGTGGAAACACAGAACAGATTTAAAATCTCAGCCACAAACAGAGAACCTTTGATCATCTCCATTGTATTTTAAAGCGTTTTTGAGAGTTTTTAAACCTCAAATTTACTTTCAATCAAGACACATTTGTTTGTTACTGAGGCTTCTCTGTTCAAGGCTTTTCCTCCATGGACAGCTCAGAGCTTTTTTGACCCACTCCTTCACCTTGACCTGTCTGACCTTCTTCTTGACCTCCCGTGTTCTGTATTACATCACATTTCACTTTAACACGTCTATAAGCTCCTTACTGCAACCAGATTCCCCACATTCATCTTCTAGATGGAAGGGTTAACGTTTGAGGACGGCTTAACTCTGAATGTTCAGGCTGCTTTCATTCACACTGTCTGCCTTCTGTCTCAGTATTATTGCTTTGACTTGGCTCTATTTATAGTAGTCAGGGTATCTGCAGGTCATAGATTAAAAAAAGCATTTTGTTCCTTTAAATATTTCTCTGGACAGCTGAGTACAAAAATGTGCGATATCAGTCCCAATATTTCAGATTGAATCAAGGTGTCTGCTTTTGTTTTATCGTTTGACACTGACTCAAATGAGGATGCCCAAACTTCTCAGCTTAGTTTTTACAAAGGCCATCACAGCCACAACTCTTTGCTTAAAAGAAATCAGTGGCCACCCAATGCCATACATTCAGTGGGCCTCAGTCAAGAAGCGCTATTATGAAAACATTTGTTTTTCCTGCTGCAGACTTGACGTAGGAGTTTTTCCCAATCAGTCACCTCTAATCCGAACCTGGTTTTTCATTAAATGACTAGATTTTTTTTAACTTTGAAGAAACTGTCAATTTTATTAGGCTACATCATTATAAATTATGCAACTCTGCAATTATAAATTACATTTCTATTTGCCGATGAGAGAACTATAAGTCACTACATGCATGCCTGTATCCAGACATCATTGGTTTAATTTGTTAGCATTTAATCAAAAGAAAGAACAGAAAGAAATCAAGCTACTGTTTTAAGAAATTGAAGAGGAAAATGGATAGAAATTTCAGCAACATGTTTTTGCTTAAAACTCATCTAATGGTAAAACATGCATCAATTTCCCTCCATGGCGCCGCCTTTGCATTGTTGCGTACAAAGTTGAAGGTTTGGGTCTGTTTCATCATATTAAACTTTCAGCGTCTAATAACAACGCATCATTTTTATGTTGATGCTTTTTTATGAGGGAGATGGAGAGTATTAGGAAGGGAAGACAGACGTGTCCTGGAGATGTACTGTACAGGTATTGCTGTGCATTAAAAGGAGATTGTGTAGAATGTTGTCGTTTTGGTTCAGGGCAGACTCACATTAAGCATTTGCATCATGTGGTGCAACTCTCGACTCCATCAGTAGTTTTCATTGACTGTTTATGGATCAAATCATTTTATTCTTTTGAGTTTTTTATTCTATTTTTACTTCTGTAATTTATTGAATTATTCCCCACTGCTCGGCCTTTACTGATCCTTTAATTTTGCTGCTCAGCTCCCAGTCAGCAGAACTTTGATCTATAATTTGCTTCTTCGTCATCAATGCCATTTCTTTTAAGGAGCACTCTCTGAAGCATGGGAATTTTTACCCTTACATGGCGTTATTTGGGTGGAAATTATGCAGATTTTGCACATTTCTCGGGAACACGCTTACTTACACACTGGTGGACTCCATCAGGTTTTCAAGGATAATTTAGGACAATTTCCTGAAGTTAAAAACAGTTTTTGAATCTGATGTGGTGCGTTTGTAAGGGAAATTTGCAACAAGAATACAAACCACAGATTATAATTTACGTATACTGTTACCTATGCAGCAACTCCTTGTTAATAAGCATGTGGGACAAGTGACGGTTGACTGCATTGAACTGTTACCTATGCAGCAATCTCTTATATTGGGCATGCATGTGCTGACAGTGTAAAGGGCTAAACTACTGCAGATTATGCAACTGAAAATATCAGCAAAGCACCATGAAATTATATTTCTTTGGCTTAAAAAAATATCTCTGTCAATAATACACAAGGTTTAATACTGTTTTTAAGTATTTACACGTCCATGTTGAGAAGTTAGGACATATTTTAAAGGTAATGCCTTCATTTAACTTGGTTAAAAAAATGCACATTTTGTTACCATGCCTAAAGGGTATACAAGAACTGACATTTCAGTATTTGCCTATACAGAGAACAAATAATAAATAAAGCTTAGTCACAGTGAAGAGTTATGAACATATTCTGTAATATGTTAAACAAAGGGGAGCGCAGCTACAGCTGCTCTTACGTGGAGTCTCCTGCTTCTGCTTATCAAGTAGCCGCTCCCTGATGCTTCCACTCCCTGTTGGGTTTTCTGTTGCTGCTGCTCCCTGGTGCAGTTCCACGTACTCCTCTTCTTGTTTCTTATCTTCACATTTTGTTTTATTACCACCACTTACTGGGCTGGATGTTTTTGATTTTCTTTTTGTTTGTTTTTTTTAGCACAAGCTGACTGCTGGTACTGACTGCTAGAGAGAAAATAAAGCTGATATCTGGTCCTTCAGTATCAGACACATTTACAGATAAAAATACAAATAAACTCACGTGTTATCATGGTCGATACTGATGGTGCATCAGTATTGGGGCATCCCTATTATACATGTGTATTAGGTTCAGACTGACGTATTTAAATATTGATTGCAGATCATTTTGATGGTGGTGGCTGACAGTAGGTTAAAACTCCAACTATGGCTCTCAGAAAATTTTGAAGATTGCATAGAGAATATTTTTAATACATAAAACACAGGTTAAGCCGCATCGTCTCTTTAATTTATTAACATTTCTTCTTTCATCAATATGCTGTTATACAGCACTCTGAAACTAAATCTCTATCTTAATGTATCCATGCACGTTCCACTTTCCATAAATGTTTGTATATTTTCTAATCTACTGACATGCACCTTTGTGTGGATTAAGCTCAGTAATATTTTTATATTATCATTAATCGTTAAAAAAAAATCTGAACAAGGGATTTCTAGTTTCCAAATACAGCTTGCCAAATAGTTTTTTTCTAAAGTTAAGTTTATTCTTTTTCCATAAAAGGGCATCTAAGTAATGAAGGGTTTTCTATACTGCCATCAGAAGTAGAAGCATTTTTCACATCAGTGAAATCAACTATCCCCAATGCCACCGGTGCGTTGCTTCCTCCATTGCATTTGTCAAAGGCATGTTGTCCTGCTGACAGAAGGCTTTGCTTTTGTTTCTTTCGGTTTACCAGAAAGAGCTTGTAAATATGAATTGTTCTAAAATAAAATGGATACCATTAAAGCTATTTTTGCGCAGACACGCTAGTAATTTCCCTTTGATTCTTAACATTATCAATAAAGGGAAGAAAGAGAACCAAAGCCAGTTGGAGATCTAAATAAAAAATATAAATAAGCTGCCTATTCTGGTGGGATTGAATGAAAATTTTAAAATGAAAAAGTTTTTAAAATCTTAAATTTAAGTAGGACCCTGCAGAAACCCTGCAATTGCACAGCTGTAGATGGTGTCTTGTATGGCCATGTCCAGCAAAGCTTTGCTTAAATGTTTTAAGCTGATATAAAATTCTTAGGTTTAAACACTGCATTAGATGTTCATATGTTTTTTTTTTTTTCTTCTCTTGATTCAGATCTGTCCCTGATGAAAATATGAAAGGCCAACAGGTAATGCTGGAGCCATGTCCACAGGTGAACTCTGACCCAGTGCCCAAGTCTGATGAGCCCAAACAGTCACTGGGCAGCAGCGCCACCACTCCTCCATCTGAGCCACGTAGGAAAGGAGTCCGTGAGCGAAGGCGAGAGGGTCGCTCAAAAACCTACGACTGGAACGAGTTTAAAATGGAAAAGAAAGAAAAACCTGTAAAAGAACGAGCGGACACAGTTGATCTCAGCTCCACACTCTCTACAACTTCCTCCTGCTGCTCGCCTTCTTCCTCTGCCTCCTCTTTGGCATCCTCTCCTGTGTCTTCCTCCTCCCTGAGAACCTCATCCATATCAGCTTCTCTCCCTTCTAATGTGAAAGAGGAAGAATTCTTATCCAGAAGTCAAGAGCAGGGAAAAATGGATGTAGACCACTCAAGAGACATTAGTCTAAAAGGTATAGACACACCAGACAGCGTAGCCCCAGACGTCCAAGAAGAAATCGAACAACGGTGGCATCAGGTGGAGACGACACCATTAAGAGAAGAGAAACAGGTGCCAATATCCACAGCTTTAGGAAACACTGAGCGACTCCCTGCACATGAGCTTGCCGCACTGCTAGACAAGGAGGTGGGTCTGATACATGGGATGCGTTCTTGGTTCCTGTGCTAAATGCTAGCTCTTTAGATTTACATTCCATGATAAAGATAACTTTACACAATCTTTAGAACAAACTCTGTCTTACTTTTCTACCTTTAAAATGGTCTAGCTCTAAACTATGGCTGCCTACAAGTGCAAAGAGTTAAATGCCCCGAAAACAGAAACACACAGGGAAGTGCAGCAGATCAGTAGGTGGAGTTATCTAGCCAATCAAATGGGATTCTGGCATAATTACCTATCAAAATATTTTCCTATTTCTAAATAATGTAAAAGCTTATGATTACCTGATTAAATATATATGCAGGAAAACATCTCCTTTTTTTCCCCTTCAATTTTCTCCTGGTTATCCAGCTAATGTCTTTACTGAGACTTTGATCCTATCTAACTTGGTGGTGGACTCCCCCTAGTGGTTTCCTTTATCCCTATTTTCTTTAGAGTTTGTCTCATTCATGTGTTTGCGGTCTAGTTGTCTGCAAATTTGCACTTCATGGCAACTTTAGAGAACTGCCTTGAAAAAGAAAAAACTTCAAAACATGTCAAATGAATAATATTCATGAGCAGCAGAAGAGTTGGTGAAGTTAGTGATGTGCAACTGATGATGAACTGTAGAATAACAAATATCTTTGGACATATCGCTTGAAATAGGACATTTTTAGCTTATTAAACATGTAAAAGCTGCACAGGGTCAATGGATGTGAGACTTGTTTGTTAAAAGATAATTCTGTCAAATCACTTCGACATTGACCAGAAACAGTTTGATTTATTTTACAAAGAAATAGAAGAAAAAATCTGTTCTACTCTTTGCTTTTTTTTTATAGTTGGGGCAAAAGCAAAAGGAGCTGGACAGACTACAAGAGCAGAACAACCTGTTAAAAGAGCAACTGGAAGATGCTCTTGGGAGAGAGCAAAGTGCCAGGGACGGATATGTATTACAGGTATGTGCAGATCTGTACAGGTACTTTGTACTCGACATAGATGCTACAGAAGGGAGGGAACTGTTCAGTTTACAAATCAATGATTAGATCTAGATTATGCTATGATCACCAACAGATCATCTCTCATCTTAGATTCCCAAGAACATGTCAAGTATTCATGTCAGTCATACAGTAGAATAAATGGAGATTAATGTTTCGTTGATTAGGCAGTGATGTTCAATGCTAATCCAATTGTACCAATAGGTTAAAGCCACTGTAGTTCTTTCGTAGTTAAAAATGATCACTTGTAATAGATTTCCAGTACTTGTTCTTGTTCAATATATTTTTATCTTAAAGGGGTCATAGAATGCAAATCGAGTTTACGTTGTCATAGATGAATAACGATAGTTCAGTGGGTGAAATGGATGCACAGAGAAGTTCAAACCCCATCGACACCTTTTCTCTACAAATCTCACAATTCTAAACTTCCACCATAAAACAGGCGAATTTAGACAAAGCACCGTCTGAATTCACATGAATTTGGCACTCCAAACCCGTCCCGGCTACCGTCACCGGGTCGGGTTTGGTTGCTCCGTACCCCGCTGGCTCCCTCCCCTGTCCGCCGGAGTTCCTGGAGCAGCACCTGAGCTGGCACTGCTGCACTGTATTCGACCAAAATCACAGATGACTTTGAAATTCCCCCCAGACATTTTTTTAAGTATGAAAAGTAGGACATTTCCGAAGAAAAGAGGATGTCTGGTCACCCTACCATATCAACAATTTGATGTTTCAGTGAGTGTTTGCTGTTATGATGCGTCTTTGCTCAGCAGCTTCGCCAGTTGTAAGCCAACCAATCAGCGCACAGCTCTTCTAAATATTCATGAGCATACCATAAAAGGAAGAAAACCTGTCGTTTCATTCTAGGCCTTTAAACCAGGCTTGCATAAGGCCTCATAGAACAGCAAATATGCTGTTTTCAGCCCAACAAACTTTACATACCCTATTCAAAGACCTTAAGGACCAGCACCAAATACCCTATATAATCATTCTATGACCACTTTAATGTTTTCCCTGTTACAGTATTTGGAAAAAATAGTCATTTTGCTTGATACACATGTTAACCCCTATTCCATAAAGTCCAAAATTATCTGAGGTTTGGGGAAAGTCAAATGTGAGTTTTGTGAGGGTTTGTGAGGGTTTTTGTGATGAAATTCAAAATTTTGCTTGGAGACGATGTGTGTTAAACTAATAGTGGGACTTGGGTCTATTCTCTTAAACTTTAATGCATGGTTGTGGTGTTTTTTAAGCATGATTTTTTCACTAACTTGTTCTAATCGAGTTTCACATCTCTTGGGAAAATAACTGATTTGATCTGTTGAGTTTGAGGTGAGTCTGGCTCAATAAGTTTTGCGCTGTGCTTTTTCCTTCTGTTTCTTTAAATGTGTGCTTTCCACCTTTGTGTCTGTATGCTTTGAGTTTGACACATTCATGCTTTAACTATTGTTTAGTTTTTATTCCCGCAATGAACTTTCTTTTGAAACTCTTTATTACACCATTTAAGTTTTGTTTGTTTTTTCTTTTTTGCTTCAGAATATGTAGTTTTTTAGGTCCTTCCTTATTTTACAGACCCTTGAAAAAGCACAGTGGAAGCTTGAGAGAACAAAAAAACGGAATATTGGCAAGAAAGGAGAAAACTTACTTCCCTGTTATCCCTGAGATGTGGTTCTCTTTAAATGGTGGGGGAAATGGGGTGATGTGTTTAATGAAAACTTTCTTATAATTTTTTTAAGAGTGCATCACCATCTTCCTCATCCCCACGCAAAGTGCCATGGCAACAGTTACACAAGCTCAATCAAGATTTACAGGGTGAGTTGGAGTCACAGAAGCGAAAACAGGACCTTGCACAGCAGCAGATTCGAGCATTAAGGAGAAGTTACACTGAAGCCCAGGATGCTGTTGACCGCCATGAGACTGACATTCAAGCTCTGCAGACCAAACTTTCATCTGCTATGGCAGAAATCTTAGCCAGTGAACAGGCCGTTGCTCGGATGCGCAACGAGCTCAAGCTAGAACAACAGCGGTCAAAAGAACAAGAGGAGGAATATGGCCGCAATGAGGCCACCTTACGAGCCCAGTTAAAGGACAGTGAAGACAGACTCCGTGAAGTTGAGGCAAGTCTTTTGGAAAGAAACCAGGCCCTCAGGCACCTGGAGCGCCAGCAAGCCCTGCAACGAGATCACATTAAAGAGATACAGAGGTTACAAGAGAGACTGCAAGAGGTAACAGCTCGACTAATTGCTACGGAAGAGGGTCAGGCACTAAAGGAAGAGCGACTGAGGAATGAGCAACGCAGCATGCAGGAGAAACACGAGAGGGAGAGACAGAATCTGTGTAGAAGACTGGATGAGGCTGAAACTGCAAAGAAGGAAGTAGAGGAAAGCTTGTTAGAGGCTGAGCAACAGATTGAAGCGTTGCTGAGAGGGAGGCAAGCTTCAGGTGTGAAAGAGTACAAAGAGGAAATGTTGAAGATGCAGGAGCAGCTAGACATAAAGACTGACATGGTTGAGACACTGAGGGAAAGTGTGCGAAGGTTGGAGGAAGAGAAAGGCCAGCTGACCTGCCGCTGTCAGGAGCTCCTCAACCAGATCACTGAGGCAGACCGGGAAGTAAACAAACTCAGAAATCGGCTGGAAATCGAGGAAGCAGATTACTGCACCCTGGAGCATTCATATGAGAGGGCTACTCAAGAGTTTCAGAAGATGAGCAAGTTTCTTAAAGAAAAAGAAGATGAGATAAAGCAGACTAAAGAGGTGTATGAAAGGCTGATGGAACGTAAAGAGGAGGATCTAAAAGAGGCTCTTGTCAAAATGACTGCCCTTGGCTCCAGCTTGGAGGAAACCGAACAAAAGCTGCAAGCAAAAGAAGAACTTCTTTGTCAAATGAGTCAAAGTCTTAACACTAACACTGAGCCCTGCAATTCTGAAGATTTACAAGCCAAACTTGTGGTTGCAGAAGACCGCATCACAGAGTTAGAGCAGCACCTCACTGCCCTGCAGCTAGGCTATGCTGACCTTTGCTTGGAAAGGAAGCAAATCCTGGACCAGGACAAAAGTGGAACACTTAAAACATCATCTCCTTCATCATTAAGTACAGAGCACTCCATTGAGAACTCTTCCAAGATGGAGAACATATCTGATGGCAAAGACTTTGAAGCTAAGAGACCAAGGATACGATTTTCAAGTATTCAGTGCCAAAAATATGTTGAATCTGAAGAAGTAGATCCCACCCATGATAGCAGTGATTACGTTGAAAGCTACCAAACAAACCAAGATCCAAACGTGGACTTTCAATTGGCTGGTGAAAACATCTCAGACATAGCACTTTCTCACACTAGTGACCCAGAGAAGTTTATCGCCATCATACATGCACTGGAAACAAAACTACTTGCCACTGAGGATAAGCTAAGAAACCTCACACAGAACCTAGATGTGCAGCCAGCTGCAGGAACTGCTGAAATCTCAAACATTGTTCCTAAGATTGCAGAAAACGTGCCTTGCTCAATACAGGGGATTGGTGGTGTTGAAGGTGGGGAGAGTAGTACTGCTCTCAAGCATTATACCAATGCCTTGGTGTGTGTTGAAAATGGCCGTGAAAAAGTAAGGGCTATACTTAGTGGCTCCCATGTTACCACTGATTTACAGCTTCACTCACTTTCAGAGATAGAGAGTGATTTGTTTGGTGCCTCTCTGCACATTAGACAAGGCCAAAAGACCTTGGAAGAGCAGTCACCAGATGTCCATCAAGATCAAACCCCAGAGATTGTAGACAATGAAGCACTTCTTCTCTATGCCAAGTCCCTGTCATTCGAAGCCATGGTTTTAAACAAAATGGCTGTGTTGATACAAACCTCAAAGTCTGACCTGTTGCAAGCCCTCGTTGAGATATGGCAGAATTTGGAGCACATTAAATCAAGTGAAAAGGACTGCTTGGCAATAGTATATGCTGATGTATTAACCCGGAAGCTCCTGTTGGAGAGTACATTCTTGATGGAGTTGGAAAAATCTGATGCTGATGCTCCTGGATTCAAAGACAATGAAGCAACTGGTGTAGATCGAACCATTGTTGACGCCCTTTTCAAGGCAGAAATTGCTTTCTCAATGGAAAACCTCAAACAATGTTATGAAGAGAAATTCAAACTGCTCAAAAGTGAGTTGACTGATGCCCACAATAGGCTTTATCAAAGAGAAATGGCTCTTAAAGCAATTTTTGATGCTTCGAAAAGACCCGACTTAAAATCTGTAATCAAGGATGTAAAAATGGACCTTGGTGTTGGCAAACAGAAGTTGGCTGACATTCGCCCTCCTGAACTCGCTCCCTACATGGAGCAGATTGAGATGGAGGAAGCTAGAGATTTGGCCGAGGAAACAGTTGATAGACACTTGGGAAGTTTGATGCCCTGTTGTGTCGATCAGTCTATTGAATTATTTCAAAACACTCATGACAACCTGGCTGATGAACTCCAAAGGCAAGCAGAAATCTTGCAAAGGTATGCTGAAGAGATAGAAGGCGGTAGAAGCAGCCCCGCACTTTCCAAAATGATCCAGGGTGTTTTGGGACACCAAACATCTCAGAATGTTACGAGCACCTCTCTTTGTATGCGCGAGGCCCTTATACATTCTCAAGTGGCCTATGTGGCATGCAGGTTACGGGCCATACATGAGCAAGAGTTGGACTTGTGTAAGCAGACTAGTCAGAACATGGAAGCTCTGGTGCAACAGCATGCCTGCAAAGTCGCAGAAATCCAAGAAAAATATGAGGTTTCTCTACAAAAGGAGCAAGAGAACTTCTCCCAAACTATGGTCACACTCCAGAAAGAGAACGAAATCTTGAAGAGTGAGCTCAGCACACGTGTTAACCAGCTCACCCAGCAGCAGGAGCAAGTGGCTCTCCTGGAACATCGTTTCCGGAAGGAGACAGAGGAGCTGAAGGAGAAGTGTCAAAACGAGCTCAGCCAAGCAGAGCGTTGCCTTGCATCAACAGAGCTGGCACTCATGGAGACCACAGCTGACAGTCAGCGGAAGCTTGAGGTTCTGCTGGGAGACATAGACAGCATGGAGGAACGTCACAACAGTCATGTTAGGAAGCTGGAGGAGCAATTTAATGACAGGATCACCGAACTTCAACGCATTCAACAAGAGGAGTTTGATAAGTTGCATTCCCAGTACGTCGAAAGCAGTCAGGGTGCCGAAAAACACCCTGAAGTCCTTCTCTCACCTCATTGTGAGGAAGTTGAGACGCAGATGGAAGAGGAAGAGCAGGGGAAGAGGGTGAATGCACAAAACGTGTCAGAGGTGGACTCCATGGTGGTTCTTAAGGACCGAATCCAGGAACTGGAGACTCAGATGAATAGCATGAAGGATGAGCTGGAGAACAAGCACCTGGAAGGAGACGTGGCCAGCCTGAGAGAGAAATACCAGAGAGACTTTGAAAGTCTTAAGGTTTTTCTTCTTTCTTTATATCAGAGTAATTTACATATGTAAAGGAGAGAAAAATAGTTAGAGATTTAGTTACTGTATTTACTGTTTTACTGGGAAATGGTGTGATTTTTACATTTTAAACTGGAACTGCAAGTTAGGTCAAATTCAACCCAGCTGTAAAAGTATAATACAAGTTAACTAATGACCACATGGGAGCTCTTGTTCCCTATGTCTTTGTTTTGTAGTTATTCAAACTACACTTTTTCAGAGGATCTAATGTTCAATCTAAAGCTTATTGCTTATAGGTGAGGAGTTCAAATTAAATCAGCTTGAAAAGTTAACTTAGCTCATCAGTCTCATCAGTGTATGCTGTAGAGATGCCGTATTGGAAAAGCTCTGGATTGTTTGTGTAGTGTATTTTTCTTTTTGGTCAAATATAAGGGAACATTTTTTTATTCTAATGCTGAATAGCTGATTACAGCATATTGATTCATTATTATCAGACAGATTACAGTTTTGTGTTTCTGATGATAACTTACCTTATGTGTAATTTGGAGTACCACAAGGACCTGTGCCAAGGCCAGTTCTCTTTTTCCATGATCGTGTCCATTTGCTAAAAGTATTAACCAGCCCATGGATCTAAGATACAAATTCACTCATTTTACCATGACTAGAAATTGTATAAAGAATTTTGAAACTTCATATCTTAATTATTTTCTTCAACATTCAGTTAAACTTCATTTGATAATATTTTACAAGTTATGAACTATATTACATTGTTTTATGTTATAGTTTGAGTTAAACTAGGCTCTGTGTAATTGGGTCTGAATCTGAGTCAATGGTTGGTTTTGTTTGAGTGAATTGGATTTATTTAAAGAGATATTGATATAAATTGGACAGGCCTTTGCTGTAAATTATGGCTAAAAGAGAAACTAAATTAAATTGGAGTTGTACTTGTCTTAAATAGAAAATGTTTTTCTTTGTATATATAATTTTATTCTTGAAATGTAAAGCTATGTTTGGTTATGCAAGCTTCATCTGACTAAATGGAAAACCAACCAAGGAGAATTCAAAGGAAAACCAGGCTATATTTATTAGTTTTGGAACCAAGCAAATAAAACATGATTATTGAATGAAGGAGATCAAACATGCATCCTAAGGTTGAAGTATAATCCTGTATTTTTTTTTATTTCTACCCTTTGAGTAAGCATTAAAAATCCCACCATTTCCCATGTCCATTTATGTTCTGAATTAGTCTTTAAATCAGTTAAACTCTTCTGGGCAACAGCTTCTCTGCTTTAACTCTACTAACATAGCTGGACTTTAGATCCTGTTCTTTCCTTGGCTTGTCATCCCTTCTGCATGCCACCTAGTAAACTATTATTAGATGTTGCTTTCAATGTCTAGTCATAAATAAATCACATTGTGTCAAAATGCATGTAACTTACTTCCAGAAATGCTAAATGTTGGAGCTTTCTTTTCCTAGGCCACATGCGAGCGTGGTTTCGCTGCAATGGAAGAAACCCACCAAAAGGTTGTAGAAGACCTCCAGCGGCAGCATCAGAGAGAGATTTCAAAGCTCATGGAGGAGCGAGAAAGATTGCTGGCTGAAGAGACTGCTGCTACTATTGCTGGTGGGAAAATTGCAGCTTATTAACACACCTAATTTATGTTAAATAGAACGGTTATTAAACATGTGTTACCTTTCCTTAATGTAGCTATTGAGGCAATGAAAAATGCACACAAGGAGGAAATGGAGAAGAACCAGCGCTCCCAGTTGAGTGGTCTTAACTCGGATGTTGACGAGCTCCGCCTGGAATACGAGTATGTTCTGCCTAGACTTGTTTAACATTGTGTTATAAATTGAACATCAGCTGGTTTATGTTACCTGCGTATCAGCTTGTCCATGGTTTAATCTCTGATTTTTTTTTTTTTTTTGAAGGGAAGAGCTCCAGTCCATCCAGAGAGAACTGGAGGTTTTGTCGGAGCAGTACTCCCAGAAATGTCTGGAGAACGCTCACCTGGCTCAAGCACTGGAGGCAGAGAGACAGGCCCTCCGGCAGTGTCAGAGAGAAAACCAGGAGCTGAATTCTCACAACCAGGTCAGCAACCTGCTGATATTCTACATGCATGGAAATACATTTCCATCTACAAGTTCAATATGTCACTTTCTTTCCTACAGGAGCTAAATAACAGGCTGTCTGCAGAAATCACTCGCATGCGCTCATGTTTCAGCGGTGAAACTGCCCTCTCACCCATTACTCATGGCAAAGATGTTTATGAACTGGAGGTATGAGGTCACCTACGCTCCCATAACTAAAGACATACACTAAGAAGTAGAAGATGGCCTATATGAGCTTTTGTTTATATTGCGTAGGTGCTGCTACGAATAAAGGAGTCAGAGATCCAATATCTTAAACAGGAAATCCACTCTTTGAAGGATGAGCTGCAGTCTGCTTTGAGGGTGAGCAAATTTGAAATGATTGCTAAATAAAACTTGAGGTATAAATCTTTAATACTCTTGTTTTAATTAAAATCAATTGTTTTGACAGGACAAGAAGTACGCCACTGACAAATATAAGGACATATATACAGAGCTGAGCATAGTTAAAGCAAAGGCTGACTGTGATATCAGCAAACTGAAGGAGAAGCTGCTCATGGCCACGGAAGCATTAGGGGAAAGGACTGTTGATGACGCAGTTACATCTGGATATGGTTTGTAAAAATCATTTCTGTTATCAATATCCTATCCAACTTTATTTATATAGCACTTTAAAAATCTACAGGACCAAAGTGCTGCATAAAAGCAGAAATAAAAACACTTTGTAATGCAATAGATTATTTATAAAAGCACTATAAAAAAAATAAGTGAAAAGCGATATTAAAAATATGAAACTAAATCACTAGAAGCAGATGTTTTAGTTCTTGTTTGAGTCTTCAACTTAAGTTTCTTCTGAAGCAACTTTAAAGGCTTGTGCAGGAAGAGAAATGGGCTTTTTATGCCCTCACATGTGTTTAATAGGTGTGTTCTCTCGGGAGCGGGTATAGGGTTGTGCATGTGCATTTATTATTATTTTTTTAAGTGCAGAGGGCGGGTCTTTTAAAAAAAAAAAAATAGCGAAAATCCTCCGCAATATGTTTGACTTAGATGTAAAATAAAACAGCAGAAATTTCACATCACTATAATAATTTTGATTTCTCATAAATTATATATTGAATAAATTTTTTTATATGAATCGGCATTTCTCATATTTTGGTTAATTAAATGTAAAAGATAACTATTGATTTTTATAAAATATTAATATTTAAATGTTTATGTAGTCCAGATTTGGATTCTGTCTTTAGGCCATGCAGGGATGGAGATCAAGATGTCAGGGAATTTATTAGAAATTATTGTTTGCTGCTGTTACAGACCTGAAACGTGGAAAAATTACTTGACTTCTCTTGACTAAAAGAAAAAAGATTAAGAACTGCATTGCTTGATGTTAATGGTAATATTTTTATTTTTAGACATTATGAAATCAAAAAGTAATCCAGATTTCATGAAAAAGGAAAAGGCAACAGCCTCCAAACCACTGAGAGGCATAAGGTCAAAGGTGAGTGATGATCTTGCATTCTTCCCAAAGTTTGTTTCAGCTGATTGAGGCGGTGGAGATTGTTCTTTGTTCGAACTCCTACTGCCTCCAAAGGAAGCCTGACCCTGGCCTTAATTGGGATGTTTTTATCATGAAGTCTTTTGCTGCGAGTTGGTCATGTGTCTGTTTTGTCCATCAGTCTGTCACTGAACAGGTCTCATGGGATAGCTGACACTCCCATTCTGGGGTCATTTCCCATCCAAGCCCTGCCTAAAGATGTGCTGTAGGTACAACATGATGCAGACCAAAGCATGGCCTAACTATCCTTGCATGGGTTTTCTCCTCATACTCACTTGTTCTTTCCTTCCCTCTATTTATAGCTGAAAGATGGATATAGGAAATGTAACAGGTTAAAAAAGTTCTACTTTCTTCCCTTTCAGTTAAGTGGAGTTAAAAACGGTTGTGCAATTTGACCAGAAATGAGATTTGGGATTTTTTTAATTATCTTGTGCACTAACCAGATTCATTCTTTTCGTGGCTTTAAATGCTCGCTTGTCCAGAGTCCATTGTTGCAGGACTGCAGTGTTGAAAAATGCTAACTTACAGCTTACTTCTCATGCATGGATCTGCACCTTTCACTACAATCTCTTCCCTTTTGTGTGGCGGAGACACACTTTCCCCATATTACTATCTTTTAAAGTGAGAATGTTGGTCTTAGTCTCATTTGATATAAAATTAGTTATTTTGCAAATGTAGAGCCCTATTATTAAATGGCCCTTTCTGGAAAGGGAGTCACTTTATTTTATTTTTTTTACATTCATTCATTAATGTTGGTGTTTTATTCCTGCAGTCCCTGGTAAACATGTTTCCATCCTTTAACTTTTTCACCTTATGGGTCACAACTACTAACTTCAATGCCTTTTTTCCCTTTATATGTGACAGAACAGCGCTGTGTAGTTTATAACTTTCAAGAATAATGCAACATGTTTGATTATTATACTCCGGCCTAAAAAATATGGCATGTATTTCTATCTAGGTAAGATCCATTAACCTCCAGTAGATTGCTAGGAAGCTATTGCTGAAAAACTACAAAACTGGATTTAATGGAAGAGTGGGTTTTTTGAAGCCGCATTTAAAAAGCGGAAAAGGCCCTTTTTATTATAATCCACTCATAATGGTGGCTGCATCGGGCTGCAGGGATGCTTTTCTTCAGCAGTTGGTCTGAGCTATGATGGAATAGCTTAGGATCAAAGCATGATTAAAATCCAGGGCTAAATTCAAATGAGAATCCTGTGCAAAATGTAATTTTTGCTCATTGCTCATTTTCTAATGCTGAGCAAAAGGAGCAAGATTTTTAGTTCTTAGATGTACAAAGCTTGTAAAGATGCAACTAAGAAAACCTCCAGGTTCTGAATCACAAAGATTCCTGTGGATTGAATATAATTACATGTCAATCTTGTAGATTTATTGGTTAAAAAATGTTTAGAATAAACTTATTTTTTTTAGAATAAAGCAGAATATCGTCTGTGAGGTGGATGATTCTTGTGTTACATAATAAACTACTTGGTTCTTGTCTGTCACTTAAAATCCTACTAAAATACTCTGAAGTTTGAGGATCTAATGTAAAAAAAAATTGGAATAAAGGTTAAAATTGGATGTGAAACCTTTTGTGAGGCACCATTTATGTTTGAGTTTATGTTTGTATTAGCAGTGACACCTGTCCTTCAGCATGCCAATATTCAGACTTTTTTTTCATGCATATCTTTATTTTATATTTTCATATACTTTATTTTATCTGTTCTGTCCACATGCATCAGGAAAAATATTAATCAGAAATGTTTTGTGATCAACAGAGCCTGAAAGAGGGACTGACTGTGCAGGAACGCATGAAGCTTTTTGAGGCTAAAAACTCCAGAAAGATTTAAATGATGTGTAACTCTAAAGTTCGACCCGTGACCTCGGATAAGCCGACTGAAGCTTTTTATGACAACAACAAATGCGTTAAAAATGTTCAGACCGGGATCTATAGCTGCCATTCATCTTAACTGTTATTTTTTTTATTAACTGGATGCACATTATAAATCCTGTGATTTTATCTTTTTAATAACATCACATCAATAATCTGTCGAAGTTAGTTGTCAGAAATACTTCCTATTTTCTTTAGTTCTCAGAAATGCCAAAACACTCAACAGTATGAATTATATCCAGTTACCAGTATGAATTATCTGCTGTATTTTATTCTTGTTACAGTGTTTATATCTCATGGTTTTTATTGTGTTTGACGTTGCACCAGTTGAGCTGTACATAACTACTGGTTATGAGTGGAGTAGTGAGTGGTGGTGATCGCTGAGGCATACGCTGTACTTACAGTTTGAATGGTGGTTGAAAAACAATGTGATGCTTCTGTTTGAGGATGAATCCATAGATAATAGGGAAGGAGGAGGGCATGACTGGACTCTTACCACTTGACTACTTGAGAAAGCTTTTTTGTTTTTAAATGGGTTTAGTGACTACAGATCGGTTATTGCAGTGCAACCAAACATGCTGACCGTGTCATATTCAGTGAAAAGCAGTTTTTGTTTGGTAATGGAGTTCTTAATTTCTTTTTAGCTCTTTAATTTGGCTTTGCTTTGACATGGTTTGTGAATGTGCTGTTTGCGAAATGAAACTTTTAGGACCTTGCATGACTGTACATCAAGATTTAAACTGCAGAATGATCTTCACCTTGGTTTTTTTCTCTCCCTATTTTATGCTTTAGTGTGGATGTTTTAAACTGATCAAGCTTTGCTTCTCGCAGATCCTACTGTGTTGATGTTGACATTGAAATGTTTTACTGTAAAGCATCAGCCTGAAAGCACTTGGCCCCTTACCCTGATCGCTTATTTTGGTCTAAATATGCCTCAGCTGAGTGAAAAATAGAAACACCCATGAAACCTGTGCAGCTATGGAAACACACTGTATAGTATTAGAATCACAAATTGTACATATAAGTATGCCATACAGAAAGACTTCTGTTTTGTTTAACTTTTACTTTGCTCAATAGCTCTACATGAAATATATATGAATATTTTTTATTTCTATTTGAATGTATCCTGTCTAATAAATGAAGTGTTTGAAAAACAGCATGCTTTGACTGTCCTGTAATACAGAAAATGTCACGTGTTTCTAATATTTGTACAATTTATTTAATCTGCCAGTAATAAGAATAACTGTTTAAAAAAAGATGCAGTTCAGTCTAAAATTGAGCTAGGCTACAAGTATAATTTGTGAAAAATACACCATTCTGCAGGTATATCCAGAGAGAAGAATGCAATGCTGTGCATAGAGGGAAACATAAAAAAAAAAACACAAGAAAAGGAAAAACATCCATGCATGTCTACATTTACACCTCAGAGCAGTTTAGCGGAACCAGTAATGTGCATTGTTGGCTGTGGGAGGAAGCTGGAGTACCCTGAGAAAACTCCCAAATATAGAAGAACAAGGGAAATCTCCGCAGGGTGGAATTTGAAACCAGGACCTCCCTGTTCTTTGGCAACTATATTTTGTACTGATAAGTTGAGGTAAGATGTTTATTATTTCCTTCAAACTATCCTAACAATGAGGAAGAGAGATTTTGTTAATTCTTGGGATTTAAATCATCTGTACTTGTGAATATTCAGAGAAAGGAATATTTGAGATGTATTACAGAATCAGCCATGATCTTTGGACTTCCAGGTGGTAATGCATTATAGTTATTTATTTTGTAAGTGAGGTTTGGTTTAAATAGGTTTGATAAGGTTTGATATCTCCTGGAAGATCAAATTAAAATCAAATCAAATTTATTTGTATAGCCCTTTACAATAGCCAATTGGTACCCAAAGTGCTTTAAAACAAAGCCATAAAAACAATACATAACACATATAAAAACATACAAGATACAATTAAAAGTGCTGTAGTGGTGCAGTGCTGCAGGACATTAAAAGCCTTCCAGAGGTGCACAGAAAGATGACATCTAAGAGACAGTATTATAGTCAGAATTAAAAGCTAAATTAAAAAAGTGGGTTTTAAGTTTTTGACCTAGGGACCTCTAGCAGAAGCTGACCCGAGGAGCGTAAAGCTCTGCCACAATTGTGGAAAGTTAAAATCTCAGACAAGTAAGAGAGGGCAAAGCCATAAATGGCGTTAAAAACAAACAGAAGTCTATAAAAGATGAAGCTAATGGCTACTCTAAGAATGGCAAGATGCTAAAATGTCATCAAAATATTTGGATTTGTTGAATATTTTTCATAAAATCCAATGATCATTAAAACTAAACAACTTGGGTTGGAAGTGGTGTCTGTGTTTGGTAATATCTGATCAATAAAAGTGTTTTTAATATAAAAACCTAATATAGGTTTGGATGAAGATAGTTTATCACTCTGTTTTCACTGTTAAGAATTAGAAAATGATTTACCTGTCTCACACAGGAAGATCAGTATTTCTCATGTGATCAGCTTCCACAACCACTGAGGTTAGAGATCATTTTAAAGCACAAGTTTTGCCGCCTTCTGGGATAGATTTTAGCTTCAGCTTCTGTGACGTAAAACAGGAAATATTCAGTTGTAAACAGCTTTCTCATTGGCTAGAGAGCCACAGTTTGATCATAACACTACTAAGAAAAGCAGCTGTGATTGGTTTAATTATCTTCAAGGACCAGAACGGTCACGGAAATGTTGAATGGAGCGAGAAAAAAAAAGCAAATACAATTTTACAGAGGATTTGAAAATGCAAGTTGAAAATTGAATAATAGTCTTTTTTTAAATGTGTGATTAGGAAATGTAGAATAAGATTTATGAATTTTGGTTTTTAATTCTCCATTTAGGAAAATGATCTGAAAATGTCAAATTCCACTATTATAATTATTTATTAATAAATACAATTTATAATTCCTCTAATAATTCTATTTTAAATGGCTGGTTTTCTTTTTCAGTGAATCTTTAAGAAAAGTTATCAGGGCTGGCCTCTTTTTTTGTTAAACAAAAATGTAACTTTTTTAAGTAGGGTAACTTAATTTTTTGTATTTAATTTGGGCTTTTCCCCCTGGTCCTCCTTTCAAAAAGAATAAATAAAAAACAAAGACATAATTATCGACATCGACTGAAAGGCTGTATTCAGCCTTATTTCTAATTGAACTGTTTTTATTGTTTAGCCCTGAAAGTAATGTTTTAACAGAGGAGCTAATAACTTTTTTTATACAGGGTCATGAAGTTTTGTCTTTTCTTAGACCTTAATAATAAACTATTTAAAAACTACTCTGGATTCACCTGTGTTTAATTTACATTTGTCTGATGTTCTGAAACACTTAGAGCAACAGCGTGTAACTTTTAGACACAAAGGTTAGTTTATTTATAAAGCACATTTAAGTGGCAAAACATTTCAAAGTACTTTACACGAGATAAAAGATAAAGAACTGTGCATTGCAGTGGTGTTGAGGCAGCAAAAAGAATAAAAGCATAACATTAAAATAAGAGGATTGTATATTTTTATAAAATAAAAAATGATCAAGAAACCGTATCAAAGGTTTGACTGGAAACCTGACTAAAATGTTAAAGCACAGTCAAAGACCGCTCTAAACAAACATGTTTAAACTTGATTCAAAGCAACTTTTACAGCAAGTTTGCTGGAAGTTTATTCCAGCTTTTCTGAGCATATAGAAAATAACGCTGCTTCACCATGTTTTATTCTGGTTCTAGGGAGAAGTAGACTAGAGCCAGAAGATCCGAACTGTCGAGGTGGTAGATACACTGACAGAAAGTCTGTAATGTGTTTTAGAGCTAAGCCATTCAGTAATTTATAGACCAAGAGAAGTAATTCAAAGATAATTCTCTGAGACGGACAGAAACTCTGATCTCCAGCCTGATTTGTGTTTCAAAGCTGTATAACTTGAGTAGTAATTTCTAGTTTTATTGAGTCCTTTTGGTGTTGAAGTCTTACTCCAAATAACATGGGGACAGTGAGGAAAAGTCACAAAGTGTGCGAGTAGCATGAAACAAAAAACGACTGAGGTAGAAGAGCAGTTTGGCCTTACAAATGAATGTCAGCCATTTCTTCTGTCTACTCAGGTGTAGTGAAGGCCATGAAGGCCTAATTAAGCTTTGAACCCTTTCTGTAGATTTTCATTATGTTTTGTAAAGGACATTTTATCACCAATCTATACACCTGGATATTTATAACAGCACTTTTTCATTGTTTTGCACCAGTTAACGTTTTGCCAGTGCATTTCAGTGCAATGGCTCTTAAGGCTGAAAGTCGTGCAAATTATGCTGATAAGCTGCATTTAATGACAGTGATTGCAGCAAAAGCAGAAGTTTTAATCCACTTAGTGGCAGGTGAAGACATGCTCCCACCAGCCATCACAGACCTTTCAAAGCGAGGCTGTGTTCCCTGTTAAAACCAAGCATGGTTGCTGCTCTGGTGAAGAGTATCGTCTCCCTTGGTTCGATGTGATAGTTTGCATAAGAAGAGGAGAATTAAACGTTGTCTCCCTAAATGAAGGATCACCTTTAAATCAATGAGTCGATCCAATCAACCGGTTTTACTTAGATAGAAAACTTTGAATCCACCTGACTGTATGATCTGGTTGAACTGTTTCTGTAAAGTACCTTGAGATGAAGTGCTGTGAATTGTCGCTATATAAATAAACTGAATTAAATGGAGAAAAAGATCAAAGGAAATAGGACTGACCTTAATTAGAAAAGAGGGAAAAAAGAAAAGATAAATGCAACAGAAAGGATAGAAAAATCATATTTCTTTAGCCCCCCTACAAACATAAGAGATCTCCAGTAATTCAGCAGCATATTACAAAACAGTTCCTCTAATCAGACTTTTTGTTTCTCTGAAATATGATGGATTTGAAAATGCAGAAATTTTAGAAATTAGGAGAGTTTAGGTTAGGAAGCACATTTGGAATTTCACATAACGATTACCTGTTAAGTATAAAAGACATTTGTTTACCCAATAATTAGTTTGTGTTTAAAAATGACAAAAAAGGCAGATTTTTGCAGCAGCATCTCTCTTTGAACACAATAATAATCAATCCTAATATCAATTGTGGATTAACTTTGGGGTTACGATTCTAAAGAAGTAAAGTCTATATGTTTGAATTTCATAGTCAGCCATCTATTTCCAAAACACTTTCTCTCCAAAAATTTCTCCCCAAGAAAGGCAACTATAGTTTCATTCCAGGTGGGTATTTGTTGATCCTTGGATCTATCCGACTACCAAAACCACAATTTGCTTTCCTCAAAACTCTCCTGCCTCCTTCAATCCTTTACTGTCTCTCAAAGCGTCCATCAGTCTGACCCAGAAGGCGTTCTGTTCTAGAGGGTTTTCCGGCCACAGCAGGTATGTCCTTCTGTGCACAATCCTGCGCAGCCGCGTGTAGGGGGACAGGCAGTGCTCAGGGATCTCCTCCAGGAACACCATCAGAAGGACATCATTTCCATCACACAGAAGCCTCAGGCTGGCAAGCTGAAACTCCACAGAGCACCACTCACTTTGCAGGTATGAATGGCTCACCACGCAGATGGTGTGTCGAGATCCATAGATTGCAGCCTCGATGTTCTCCAGGACCGCAGCACCGGGGCGGAAGTCTCTGTGATGCAGGCACAGCCTGAGTTTTGCTGCACCAGCAGCCGGTTTCTCCAAATTAGGCACCAGCTGCTTCATCACCCAGTCCTCATCTTTGGAGCTGTAAGAGATGAATGCATCATACTGAAATCTAACCCCTGCGCCTCTTTTTCTTCCTCTAAGTTTTGCTTTGGCCATTAGCAGCAAGAAGCGCAGAGTGGGACCTTGTGTGTGCCAAGCCAGACACACAAACACAAAGAGCACATCCATCACAGAGCAGGTGATGAAAAGAGTCAAAGAAATTTGATCATAAGAGCAGGTCTTGTCATCAAACTGCCACAGGTAGCGGGATCTTCTTTCGTTGTTGCACTTCAAATTGTACAGGTAGGAAACCTGGGTGGAGTTTAGAAAAGAAAAGTTAACCAAGATAAGTGAGAATCTGTAACTTTGCAGATGGCGTTACCTGTGTATGAGCATTGCTTATCGCCCAGGTCTTGAACCAAGCGTTATCGCAATCGCAGCTTAGTGGGTTTTCTGAAATATCAAAATATTGGAGTCTGAAAGCACAAAAACACCCAGGGTGTTATTATTCAGACATTTATACATATTTTTAATGCACATTTTGTTTTGTTTTTTTGTTCATTTTGGAGGTTGCAGTTAAAAATATTCTAAGTTTCATGATACAGTACTCTGATTCTGTAACAAGCTGCATAAAAGAACACCAATCAATGGTAAATATCCTGTACTTATATACACTACATTCAGTCATTCACCCATTCTTGCACACACTGATGTGGCATCCTACATAGAGGCCACAGCTGCCCAGTGGCTCACTAACAGAAGCGAGGTTGCCATACACTGGCACCACCAGCCCCTCTGACCTAACCTTGAGCTACGAGCTTGATTCTTGGTCATCTGAGTTTTCTGTCTCACAACAAATCCATCTTGAAAGACTCCTGCTAAAACGTCCATCTTGTAACCACCGTGTCAGACCAATGACATGTCAGTGTGCATTTTTTGGTGCGGCACATGTAGGAATGACGACAGTCAGAGCGGCCAACATGGCTACGGTGGAGGACTCAACTGTCAATATCTCAATTGACTCAGTTTTATCTAAAATAGAGACAATTTCTCATTTAAATAAAGGAGCAAAGAGAAGCACTTTTTGCATCTGTAGATTGGAAAGATGTCTGTGTGTTTGTGTCCGTTGGTGACTCTCATGGACGACCAAGTTGCCGAAGCTATTAAGTCTGATTAAGTCACGATTCGCTGATATTATGGAAGGCAGGTACTAGAAGGTACGTCACCCAATCAGCTCAAAGTATTGTACTAAACGTCCTTCCTTTTCACAGACAGACTGGGAGCCAGAAATCCCAGATTTTGATAACGTAGAACTCAACTCAGTTCCACACATATCAATCTGGCTACTGCCAGGTTAGGTCTGACCACCATCAGTTGGCAATGTGGGTGAAGTGTTTTGCCCAAGGAAACGACGACACTGAAAGCCAGAGCTGGAGATTCTGTGATTCTATAGCAAAAAAGGCCAATAGCATAAGGCAGGGGTCTTTAACGTTTTCCAGGCCAAGGACCCAAACTGATGGTGAGATGGAGCGGGGACCCCCTAATTATATATATTGTATGAAATTGTGTTCTATCAAACTGGTCCTATAGTCACTCTATAACATATGGATTATTAAATTATTTCTGATTCTGATTCCTGGTTGATGGGACAGGTGTTGTGAATGAAACGGTGCCCAGCTTGAAAGAGCTCCTGTGTGTCACTGAATGTGTGTGTTGATGACTGAAAGACATCTGCCTCCATTTATCCATTTACTACAATGTGGTGAATTCATGGTCTGTATTCAAAGAAATTTCAATTAGTGGAAGAAATAGCAGGGGGGCATATAAAAAAAAAAAATTAAAAAAAGTTTAATCAACCAAAACTTTCAGTGGACCCCCTAGGGGTCGCGCACCCCCATGTTGAAGACCTCCAGCATAAGGCGTTCTAGCCATAAAAAAAAAATAAGGAAATAATGTCATAAGCTGAAATAATTTTTATGGAGGCCCCATGTGTTGCACTTTTTTTTTTTTTTTTTAAGTTCTGTTGCTTGCAGTTCAGATTAACTTCCTGAAGCAGGTTGGCCTGTCCTGTTTGGGAGTGCTGTTTATGGATACACATATAGGTTAGACAAGGTCACCACTAAAGGTGTGATTGGATAAAAACTGCCCAAAATCTTACTTCAAGAGGAGTTTCATGGTTAGTATCTTATGTGGGCAACTTAAAGTTCAGCTCATCTATAGTTCCTGGCAGCAAGACAGAAGGGAATGATTATATCCAGCAACTGATGTTTCATCAAACATGGGACAGGGGTACCTCAGGTATGTGTACCCACTCCTGTTTTCATTGTGTTATTCTTGTTTTGTTTTCTCTGCTGATTTAAATTTAGGACCTTAGTTATTTAGCTTATGAGAACTGCCAGCTCATTTGAAAAAAAATATAAGAGGAACAAACTTCTTCTCATTTTCTGCTTCTTTAAAAGCTGTTAAAAATAAACTAAACTTTCCATTAGCCCTTCCATTACCTTGGTAGATTATTCAGCATTTCCTTGTTTAATGTACGGATGTGGTTTGAAGAAACTTTGAGAACCTTCAGTGAATTATTCGGAGGCAGGAGGTTTGCTGGTAGGGAGTCGAGGTCTGCCCTGTGCAGCATCAGCTTTGAAAGGCCTTTTAGGGGCGACAGCACTGCAGTTAGGTTGGTCTCTTTTAAAACCACTCCATCTATGAACAAGATCTTCAAACTGATCAGAGGAGTAAATGCGTCGGGATGTATATTCATCTTGACACTGTTTCCGATGTTTATGCATGTAAGGTTCTGTAGACCCTTGAAGAAATGTGGTCCAATGTCACCAATGCCATAACCTCCAGGTCCCTGGTATCTCATTTCTAGAAACTATAAGACAGAAATCACATACAAACAACAGACATGCAGGGATATTAAGTGCAATCCTCACCTTGTTTTGATTTTTTTTTTTTAGGAGAAGAGATAAAACTTTAACATTTACCCTCAGAGAAATTAGGGACTCAAATGGAGATTCGTAGGATCTGAATTCGAGACGATTGTTATACAGAACAAGCGCAGTCAGTTTTTGAAGGCCAGACAGAATAAATGGTGTCACCCTCCTGATCCGGTTCCCACTAAGGTCAAGGTATCTGTGAGGTTAAAATGATGTAAGAAGAAAGTAGATGTGAAACAAAACAGATTTATATGGCAGATCGCCTTAATTACCTTAAGTTTGTCAGGTCCTGGAAGGTGCCCACTTCAATGAAACAAATTATATTTAAACTGAGGTTCAGCTTCTTTAGCCTGCGCAGATTACCAAAAGTCTTCTTCTTGAGGGATCTTAACAGGTTGAACTGCAGGTAGAGCTGCTCAAGACTAGTTAGAGCATTAAATACATTCGCCTCCAGCTCAGTTATCTCATTTTTCATAAGGGACAGGCAAGTGAGACCTTTGAGAGAGTGAAACCAACCGGAGTCAATGTCCCGAATCCTGTTCCTGTCCAAACTTAAAAACGTCAGCTTAGTCAGGCTTCTGAATGTGTCCCGCTTAATGTTAACATGATTTTGGTTTAGGTACAGTGTTTTAAGAGCTGTGAAACCCTGAAACGTTGCATTTGATATCTGCTTTAAACCACAGTTGATGAGATAAAGTTTGCTTGTGTTACTCTTTTCCGAAGACAAACGATCCACATTCCCCAACTGTGCTTGCAGAACTATAAGCATGGTAGGAGTGGGGCAGTCCAGAAGGCTGGTGTTACTCTCAGGTAACTTGGATCCTTTTAGGTCAACCTGTGTAAAAGTAAATTCATAAAAACGACTTAAATGATTTAAACCCAGAAGTAAATAAAAAGTAGTAACGAATGGCTACTCTACCTCTACTTTGGTGACGTTTTCCATTCGTCTCAGCACATCACAGATTGTCCATGAAGAATTCTCAGCAAACATAGAAAATGATATGTGAATGAGATCTCCCCTCGTCTGTGCAGAAAGTCCCATTAGACTTTCTACCCCGACCGACTGAAGGAGCAGAGTCCTCAGCTGCTGATTTGAGTTAAAAGCATCTGGCTGCAGCTCCAGTTGTGTATTGTTGGACAGTTTGATGTATTTCAGAGCTGGAAAACAGCTCACATTTACCTTCTGGATGTTGTTTACTGAGAGATTCAAGTATTTTAGAGACAGGGAGCCTCCACACTCTTCACAGCTGAAAGACTTTAACTTGTTGAGCGACAGATCGACGCTTTCAATGGCAGGAAAGAAATGAAAGAGAAGGCCGGAGACGTCTAAAAGGCTGTTTCTGCTCAGAAGAAGGACTTTCAGACCGGTGAGTCCTTCAAATGCGTTCGAATGGATGAGCGACATGTTGTTGCCGGTGAGGTTGAGAAACTGCAGGAGATGAAGTCCTTTAAATTCTTCTCCTTTCAGAAATGCTAGTTTATTTTGACTCAGGTCCAGATGTTTGAGTCCAGCAAAACGACTAAATGTTCCAGGTGGGACGACTCTGATCATGTTTTTGGAAAAGCTAATAAAAGTTATATTTTCAGGGAACATTCTCACCACAGCAGAGATGTTCACAATCTTGCGGTTATCGCACCACATGCAATGCGAATCTGCAAAATTCTGAGAGCAGCTCATGAAGCCGAACGCAGTGTAGGAGGGGAAGTTAAGCAGAAGCAGAAGCAGAACCGCTCCGACCATCTCTGTAACGTGAGTCACAGCTTCTTTTATCAGACGGCACCCGTCAGGTGGAAAAGATCTAAAGATACAGAGGTGGGGGGGGAAGGGTTTCATCAAGAGGGAGGTAGAAATAACTCTTTCACGAAACACGAATATAATTCATGTAAGAATGTAAACAAAAGTCTGCTTTTTCTTAATGAGAAAACAATCTAAAGCAATCCCTTCTTGTTTCTAAAATATCAGTTATATCATATATGGTATTTTATGTTTGATTTATATAACCTATTAGTCAAGATGTATATTCTTACATCTTTTATATATAATCATAAAGATGTATAATCCTCTAAATCCCAGCAAAGACATGTAATGAAATTAATAAGAATGTGAATATATGAAAAAAAATCATTGAATTTAACCGCAAAATGCTTGTATTTGAACAAAGAAGTTTCTTTTTTTAGCTTCTATATGAAAATTAGTCTAATAATAAAATACAAGAAAATGGATACTGTCTGTTGCTATTAAAAAATAAGACAACACACTTTTATAACCTGTCAAATATTGCATCTAAGCATGCAAAACATTTAATTTGTCTCCTAACTGATGAAAGTTGGGAATTAATTAATCAAATAATAGTGAATTCGTTTGAACTTACCTTTCTTCTTATGTGTTCAATGCACAACTGCCCTTTATCTACTGACCATAGCTATAGACTGATGCTTATTTTGAAAGCATGTCACATCCTCTTTTTATGAGGTGCGATGTGCTTCTTCAATCTTATAGCATTCACACTTCTGTTAATAGACACTTATTTGTGCTTGGTATGTTAAATGTTTCCTCTTGGTTAATCTCTCCTAAGCACAGTGTTGGTTAAAAATCACCAGCGAAACAACAAAACCTACCTGAGGTTTATCTATATAGGTGAACCATCAGCACTGGCTAAAATCGAAAGAAGAAAACACATTTTCAAAAAGAGGCAAAGGGATCTGAAAGGTCTTTAAAAAGCCAAGTCCCAATCATTGCATCACTGCTTCTGTAAACCAAGGAAGTTTTTCTGAAGTGGTGCAGCACCAGAAACTGCCTAAAAGAAGAAACAGGGGGGGTTCTGATGCCGCCGAAGTAGTTTCACCAGAAATATATGTTTGTTCCTCCCATTGTGGTTTTTAAAACTACATAAAAAAAGAAAAAAAAGAAAAATGGAATTAGACCAAGACATGGGAGTTTGTCCACCTTACCGGTCAAAAGCATCTAAGAGCCCCATGGTAGCTGTGGAGGAGCTGTCCTTTCCACAGATGTTTCGACAAATGTTGGTCATATACCTCATACAAACGTCTTAATGGCAGAGTGGCAAGCCAAGTAGGGGGATCAAGCAGACATATGGAAGAAGTATCCTGATTAGATGAGAGTAAAGCTGAACCTAACATGCATGATTGGACAGGAAACTGGCCAGAGTGAAAGATAAATGGGGCTAAATCCAGGATAACTGGAAGGAAAGCTGCAAAAACATGAGCCTGGTTGGAGCTTCAACTGCCAGCTGGACAAACAAAATACAGCGGCTAACTTATATCAAATGTATGAAACTACAAGTCACCCTTTTCACATTTTATTAATAAAATTTCTAAAAGGAAATGTTTTATTTTCATTTCAGATAGCAATGTGACGGAATGTAAAGATGTTGCAGGGACATGAAGACACATCAAAGTATTTAATCGATCATTTGTTATCATTTTGCTCTTATTTTGTACAATTACATGTTGAAGATGGGAATAACGTAAGTAAAATAGTTCCCTGATCGTTTCAGGTTAAGTATCCGCTGGTGTCTCTTCTGGTCCTGACAGCTGACCTTTTTTTCTTCTGTGATCTGAAGGTGATGTTGGTGAAGGGGCCTGAGGATGTGAGGTGGGCAGGCCCCGCTCTCCTCCTAACAGCAGTCAGAAAGCTTTAGGTTTGGTGAATGAGGGGCCCCCGGCCTTAGGCCCTGGGGGGATCTTCGACCTTCAGCACGGGAAGCACAGGTTAACCACACTTCTGATGGTTTGGCTGTAGGAGCTGCTTCACCTTTATCACAGCCAACCTGTAAACCTACAGCTAAAGGTGTTCTGCCATGTTGGATGTTTGTCTTTCTTGTTAATAAAAATTGTGTGAAGAACTTCCTTATTGTTTTATCCTCCCAAAGTATACACATGCATTCATTTGTGTACAGCCTTAAATTATTATTTGGAGAATTTTGATCCAGATTTACTAATAAACCAAGCTTTTTGCCTCAGTTTAATTAAAAGGACTGATTCTCATGGTTTTATATTGTATAATACATTTAATATACATGAAATTAAATGAAGAAACAAACAGATCATTTATTTAATTTACAGTATTATACATATTCATTTACAAGATTGTCTCTCAGCATGATTGTTGAAGGACAAACTGATCTAAAGAAAACAACAAATGCAGGAGTAGGTTCAGTAGGTTTAAGTTTAGCTTTCCAGGGTAGCCAGAGGACTTGGAGGACACTGTGTTTCCAGTCGCTGGAGGGATGAGGGTCTCTGTGGAGGTTTGATGGAGGAAGGTATGTCAGTAAACACGACTGATCGGCCATCGGGGCAGACAAGAACGCTGGAATCCGCTTCACACTTTGTGGTTCTGCTGGGCCACAAGGCCTCAGCTGACCTCAGGCCTAGGCCGCTCGGAGGCAAGGCTTCACTGTTCACGACCGATGACTGACTCATCTTGATCAGCATGTCTAATGACTGCTTACGCTTCTCCAGCGAAGCCTTCATCAGCCTCCTCTCGCTCTCTTCTTCCTCTTCCTTCTCCCCCTCATTCTCCTCCACCTCCTCATCCTCCTCTTCCGTCTCTCTAGTGCTTGCCTTATGTTTGCCATCTTCTCTCATAGTTTGCTCACAAGGCGACTCCATCGACTCCCTCTTCACTGACAGGTCAAGAGGTCCGTCGCTTTGGCTGGCTGTGTGCTCCAGAGCCTGGTGAATGTGCGACAACTCATTGCGGATTTTGTTCAGGTGCTCCCATAGGTGCTGCTGGGCAGGATGGTCCTCGTTTTCCAGGTGGGAGATTTTGCGCTCTGCCTCCTGATATTCTTGCAGAGCCTTGGAGAGATCAGTGAGGAGAGCGGCCACGGATTCTGAAGCACCTTCTTCGAGCGCCCTGGACGCAGCAGAGTCTTGGCTGGTGGCTTCAGCAGCAGCGGATAAAGAGACCGTTTCGTTGTTGGGACTGATGAGAGACTTGTCAAACGAGTGGTCATCTGGACGGTTCTGAAGCTGAGCATCTTGTAAACTAAAGAAAAAAACAAAACAAAGAGTTTTACTCTGGAAACATTTGAAACATCACAGTTTAACATTGATATTTTTGGAAAAAAAAAAGCAAAACATATTTCTGATTAACTCTACCTGCTTTTTAGAAGAAGTTTCTCCGCTGATGCAGTCTGAATGCTCCTTAAAAGGTCCAAAGTGAAACCCATTGCTTGTTTCTTCTCTACAGGCGCTTCATGGCCTCTCAGGGGACCTCCTGTCCTCTTCAGACCACTGGTAGCTTTGCCTTCCTTAGCTGCAGCTTGTATTTTATCCCCCACTCTGTAGCCCTCATCAGGTGAGTCTCTTTGAGGTGACAACCAGCCAGCAGGGGACATTGTGTTTCCTGCCCTCAAAGCAGGAACTTTCCACAGACCTACTTTAGGCTGGAATCCAGAGCTTGCATCTGCACCACTTGATGGGTGTTTTAGAGATTTGCTGGCATCAGCCTGGGTGCTCACTGGTCCAAAAGTGTGCTCACACAGAAAGGGGTAATAGAGACGAGGGGGAATAAGGGCTCTGTCAGGATTGGAGCTGGATGCCGGGTGCATCAGCTGAGCAGCTGATGCCAGGAAGGGAAGCTGGGCGAACTGTGCGTGGGTCTGAGCGGCAACACTGGAAGCTGCAGCCGGAATCGCTGAGTTCATGTAGGAGAACAGGCTTGGGCTAATTGGATAACCTACTCCTAACACAGACAAGTTGAGTCCGCTGGGATCCTGGTAGTCCACCAGGTTGGGTGGGGGAGGGTAACAGGGGATTGAGCCGTTCACTCGTGGCTGAGCACCTTCTTCTTTAGTTTTAGCGTTGCTGGATGCAAACAGCCGCCACTGCTCCGACAGGAGCGCAGGACTTGTTAGACATGTCTTTGGCAGCTTATAGTGTCTCAGCTGGGCCTCTAGCTCGGCAGAACGGGCTCGTAACAGCTGGTCTTCAAAAGAAAGCATGTCAGCCATCAGCAACTCTGACTCTGGCTGTTTGCTCCTTTTGGCTGTAACCTCTGGAGACTCTACCCTCCTGTTGTTGGAGCTTGGTTTGACCATTCCAGTAACTTCTGCCCGGTCCAGTCGCCCTCCATCTTCTTCATCCCCTTCTCCCCGAGTTTCTCTGCCCTCACTGTCCTCCTCCTCTGACCTATGTTGCCCCTGCTTCTCATCGGTCTGCGTTACCTGCTCCAGTTCATCTTTCCCTGTAGTATGCAGACCATGCGCTTGCTGAAAGGGTCGCAATTGATCTGGATGCAGGATGTTGCCCTTCTTGTATGGCCAATCCGACTCGATGAGCAGAGAAAGTGAGTTCTTGCAGAGACTGTACTTCATGTGGTTGTACAGATGGGATTTCTCCATGCAGGTGAAGGGGCACTGAAAGCATTTGTAGTTGTAGGGTTTGCCCCATGGTCGGGGGATGTAATGTGGCTTCTTTGGTTTTCGCTCTTTGTGTTTGCCAGCTGATGTGACTTTGCAAGCTTCATCCTTTGACATGATTAAAGGTTATTTCAAGCGTAGGTCCAAAACAACTAAATGTATTTGAGCAAATCTAGAAACGTTGTTTTTGTGCTATAATGCATTTCATTTGCTGCAGGTTTTGGTTCAAACTTTTGGGATAAAAAAAAAGGATCCTTTTGTTAAACCTGCCGTTGTTCCTGTAAAGCAAAAAGAGGACAAATTCATAAGGGATGCTGCAAATTAATTAAAGACATTATTTTAAATATAGTTGTGTGTATATTGCACTGGAAAAAATGGAAATCTAAATAAGTCATTTCTTGAAACGAGGAGGGAAGTGAGACACTTTGCTAATGGAACATAACAATTTACATTTAAAAAAAGAAAAAATAATTGCATTGGCTGATTTCAAGTGCATATTAGCTTATTTTAAGAGTAGAAATCCTCATTCCATTGGCTAATCATCTTATTTACCTGCTCAAATTAAGGGTAAATACCCTTAATTGTTATTTATTTTTTTAAATCTTTTTATTTCTAGATCGTTTCTATCTTGATATACTGTATATACCTGTATATACTGTATATATATTGCTTATTCTTAATGCATCTTTTTCCTCCCTGTTTGCACCTTCTGTAACTTCTATGCCAACATGTGAAGAGTGAATTTCTCCGCTGTGAGATCAATAAAGCTCATCTAATCTAATCTAAGTTTTTGCAGCGTGATTGTACAAATAATTGTAATATATATATTACCCACCACCATCTCAACCTGAGATGAGGGTTGCCACTAACATAACTGCAGGGAGGCCTGTGCTGCCCCTCTGTCACTGTATCTGCCACTATTCATTAGCTCCGATGCAGCACTAGGCAGTAGGAGGGCCCCAGGAAGGGGGGCCTAACTGAGCTATCACAGAGGACCCTGCACCTGTTCAGCAAGGCGAGGTTAGACCCTCAGAGGGCGGCTACAGGCAACTTCATGCTCAGGATGGTGTAGAGCTGGTAGGAGAAGTTGGGGGTCTGAGGCTGGATTCCTAATGAGAGAGCCTGGCATCATGCCTAAAGGGCCTCATTAGCGCCAGGACCGAGATCTGGGTCAGGATGTGGAGAATAAGTCCAACTGCTTCGCCTGAACACTTTGCTTCCTCGGTTAGATTGGATCATAAATAGCAGAAGAATTAAAGGTTAAAATGTTCTTGGCATCTGGTCAAAAACTTTACCTTTTAAATCTCTGTTAAATGCCCAAATTAACACGATTGGATTTACAGATCTTACCTTACTTTTATTATTTAAAATCTGAACCGCTTCCATACAGTTCAAAATCTCAAAAGAAAATTAACGTTAAAAGAGGATTCAAATTTACATTTTATAAATAATGATCAAAAATATAGGTACATAGATACATAAGTCCAGCTTTTGCAAGTTTCCACAGTTTTTTTTTTAATGATTCATAGTTAGGTCTATATTTATTAAGGAAAAATTCATACAAATTTTGAATTATAAGGGCTCCTTTCTATTGCATAAAATTTAACTCCTTTTTTAGATTAAAATTTACATTTTACAGACTCTAAAGATGAATATGTCAAAGGGTGAGAATAATATTCTGATTGATGGTATCTATAAAAAATGCTTGCATATAGTTACTTTTGTTCCACTAATGTCTTCTTTTAATTTCCTCCTTTTTTCTCATGTCTCCTTTCCTCAGCTAAGGACCTTATTGGTGATCATTTAACATCTTTTTCATATCCTTTTATCTTAATTAGAGATGCAACTACGAGTTGTGACCGAACCGGACAATTTTTCAGGAATCTATTTTGATAGTGGTTTAGCAGAAAAATATTGATCAGAATCAGAATCAGGTTTATTGCCATTGTTAGTGAAGGAGTTCACAAACTAGGAGTTTTTTTTGGTACAATTGTGCAACATGAAACATATAATATGGAATAGGTAAATAAAATTATAAAAATATCTAAAACACTGATAAATGATAAATAATCAAAACCAGTTTGAGACATCAGCAAATAACAAGTTAACTAAAAAGGAGTTTAGAGATTCATAAATATAAGGATAGTGTTGTACTTCTTTAATTTTCTGTATAATTTAAAACTACTTTCCATACCAATGAAGCTCTAACTTTTCCTTCTTTCGTATAATTGGGAAACAAACCATATAATATAAATCATTCAAATACAGAATCAGCTGCTCAGACCCTGAAGGACAACAGAAAGTTGGTGTTGACTGGGAAAAGCCTGATAGGTTCATTTCTAATCTAATTATTTTGAAATGGATGAAATATATTTTTTAATCGTTTAATTACTTTATCTTTATACTGTAAGCCAAGCCGTTAGCTGAAGCCTACAGTGAATTAAGGAGGAGGCAGCTTCTCCTCAACAGTAAAATCTTTCTTTAGGCAATTTAGAGATGAAAGTATATTTTTTTTTATGTTTCAAGTCGACGTTAAACTAAATAGATTAAAAAATATATTTTTTCTGCTTCATTTATTCATATACAGCATAGTTTTTGAGATAGAACCCAGTGAGGCGAGCACAGGAGATGGATGGTCAGTTATATGGAAGAGCGACCCAACGTGTCGAGGATGATGGTGAGAAACAGGGTGAGGAGTTTAACACATTATGTCAGACTGTCCTCCCAACCGGACCCTCAGTACTGGCCCGTTTGATTGGCTCACTTGTTCCCCTCAGGGCTCTGACCTGAGCTTTATGCTCATAATGGAGTCTAACAGCTGCAACTACGAGCCAATCAATAAAAATCATTTTTACTGTATTTCGCCCTCTCTCCTGGCCGCTGCAAAAGCCTCTCCTCCTCCCCCCTGACACTCTGTAACCAAACCCTGCGGTCTTGTTTTAAGCTTTTAGGGATGGGATCAAACAAGCCCAGCCGCTTGAACATCTATCGTTGCAATTAAGAAGGTTGACTACACTAAAAGCTTTGACAGGTTACATGCCAGAGCAACCACGGTTAGAAGGGATGAATTCTGCAGGGGGGGGGATCTAAACGAGATTAGATGTGAATTTAAAAATGAAAATAGACTGAGGTGGTTTCTTTATATCTAATATTTACAAATTTGTAAAATGTGAAATTATTGTTTGTTTATCCCTATAAAATAAGGTATGTTTTTGCCCCTGAAATTTCAAAAACACACAACATCCCATGAGTTTAAAGTGTTTAAAAACTATTTAGTTACATTTAAGTTTCTTAAAAAGGCAACATATAAATAGATCTTCTGAGATATTATCAAATACTTAAAAAAATCTGGGTTAAACAAATTATAATATCTAAATAAATCTTTTTTTTTTCATTACAATTATGTTACATTAGATTAAGTTATTTTGAATTTTACAATGAAAGAAAAAATAATACTGCAAAACATAAATGAGAAAATAAAGCTGCTTAAAGATCCTGTAGAGAAAAACATGTCAGGCCTTTTCTTTACCTTTCTTTTAAATATATTAGTTCAAAACAAATCAGTCTGCCTGCATTCCTCAAACCTGCATATAGTGCATATAGAAATGTTTTCATTCATACCTAGAGAGGCTCCTGGTGTGGCTGTCTGTCACTTTTCTGCAGCGGCAGCAGTAGCAGCAGGGAAGCGCGTCCCGCTCAAATGGGAGCGCAGGAGCGAGTGTTGAGATATATATTGACTTGGAGCGCTGCCCTGAGGCGCTACAATACAGCAGCTCCCCCTCTCCTCCCTGCAGCCCCCCACTGGATCCTCCAATGTGGTCTATACCTACAGTAGCAGCCCAGATGCAGAATACCAGCTTACAGATTATTGGCAAAGGTTAGGTTAGTAATGCTTCTTGGTAAAAACAGAGATTACTGTAGGAATGTTTGTTTATCTGTGGTTTGCAAGACAGTTTGCTTTGCATTGTTTAGACTAGAAAGCAAAAGGCAGATTTGAAAGCATTTTCTCCCACTTTATCCTGTTAACTGATTTATGACCTTAGAATTAAGCTTTCAGAGCAATTTTTTTCCAATATTAGTGAAATGACCTAGAGCTCCTCAAAATCAATAAATATGTAAGATATATAAGAAAATTATAATGATAACATTTACAGGGTTCTTGTTTTATTGGAATTTTCTGAATTTATATTTTTTCTGCCGGTAGAATTTTTTTTTTTAATCTTTGCTTTTATTAGAAATCTGAAAATTAGACAAAGTAAATATATTTCTTTTATTTGAATTTCTATTTTTTTCCATTCAATTAAAAAATACTTTATTAACCCCAAAGGTAAATTATTAATCTTTAAGTTATGTTCAGTTTTGTAAAAATATATAGACAATTACAATGTATCTGTTACATATTAAGTAAATCAACATATAGGATTTCTGATTTCTTTCTTGTGAGGACACCTTAGTTTTATAAAATGGACGGTAGACATTAAGGATTTTTAACAAAATGAAAGAATTGTAGAAAAGCAATAAAGTTTGATGTTCTGCTCTCTTCTGGGTTATAAAGTGCATTTAAACTATCCCTCCGTGTTGCAGACCCAACGTTTAATCCCACATTTATGTGACAGGTATGTTTTAAAGCCAGAGGTGAAACTTTTTTATCCTGCATTAAAACATCTAGTATTCTTTAAATTTCAAAAAGCGGAGGATGATTCACGTGTCTTCAGGACACTCAGTTTTGTTCCTTTTTAACCCTCATTATTTTCTGTTCTTCAGACAAATCTGCTCTCTTAATCTTTCTCTTTTGTTTGGAGGATCTCCGCTGGTTTCCGTGGGCCGGGGCCCTTCATGAGCCACCGCTGTCACTCAGAAGCAGCTAAATGGAGACTGACAGGCCACTCCATAGAGCCTAACCATCTGTGCTAAATGTGACAGCAGGGGAAGAGGATGTCTAGCAAGTCAGAGGGAATGACAGGAGTACACTGTGACACGAGGAGGCTGTACAGAGGAGGAGATGCTGGGAAAAAAGGGGAAGATCTACAGCTTCTTACGGCACATGGCTGATGTCAGTTTATCTTTTCTATTCTCCTTTTTCTGTCCCTCCATAAGCACTTGGAAGACAAACTCAGTTTCTCCTGTTGTCTTTAAACCTCTGCACATGCTTGTTTGGTCTGAGCCTACAGATCATCGGCTCGACTGTTCAAATTGCAACTAAATCCTAACATTCAACACAACCCCTTTAAATGACAAATCCAAAACCGGGCAGATAAGAGTGAA